ATGGCAGCAGTATAGGATTTAATAGAGCAAATAGCCATGGAGAGCTCAGTGGTGTTGAATCAGCATCCCCAACAGGCCTGGGGAAACATATCCCTCCATGAAAGGGATAAAACCAGTGTCCCAGTTTGGTCCTTACCAGCAGGCATCTCCTGGGTACCAGCGAGGACAAGCGGGTGCCCCAGGAAGAGATGGAGGTCAAAGACATAGGGCATCTCATCGGGAGCCACCAGTGAGTAGGCAGTGCCACTCCGGCCAGCTCGGGCCACACGACCTGGGAAGGGATGGAGCAGAGTGGGAAAGCAGAGCTGAAGCCTGATGGAAGCCCAGCAGGGACTTACTGGTGCCATTGGGAGCACATGCATGTGACATTTACTAGGTGGGCATGGGTGGCAAGGGGCTGTGGGTTGTTGGGAAGGGGGAAAAGGGGAGCTCATCCTGGTGCCATAAAGGGAAGGCACCAACCCTGCTCCAAGAGTCGAGGGGGGGAGATCAGGGATGTTTCTGACACTGCTTTGTCCCCTGATGTCACCTCCTGCCCCAGAGATAACCCCATCGAGGCAGGATCAGCAGAGCCAGCCTAACAGGCAACAGGGACAAGGGGTTCAAACTGAAACAGGGGAAGTTTAGATTGGATATAAGGAGGAAATTCCTTCCTGTTAGGGTGCTGAGGCACTGGAATGGGTTGCCCAGGGAGGTTGTGAATGCTCCATCCCTGGCAGTGTTCAAAGCCAGGTTGGACAGAGCCTTGGGTGCCACGGTTTAGTGTGAGGTGTCCCTGCCCATGGCAGGGGTTGGAACTGGATGATCTTAAGGTCCTTTCCAACCCAAACCATTCTGTGATTCTATGGGGACAAGGGACTCGCACCCTCCTTGTCACCACGAGGGACCCCCGGGTTGCAATGCACCCTGCACGGGGCACCAGCACCCACCGACACGATGCAGGAAGAGCTTGGCCTTGGCGGGGAAGCTGTAGTTGATGACATTGTCCAGCATGGGGATGTCGAGCCCGCGGGCGGCCACGTCGGTGACCAGCAGCACCGGGCACTTGCCGTGGGAGAACTTGGCGATGTTGATCTTGCGGGCGGTCTGATCCAGCGAGCTGTAGATGTGCGTGCAGCGGATGCCCTGCGCCGTCAGCAGCTGCGGAGCGGGGAACAGGGGTCACGTCCCACCAGGGAGAGCACCCACAGGCAAGAGACAGGGCTCAGGGTGCCCACCCAGACCCCACATCCAAGGGGTAAGTGGATGCAGCACCTCCATGGTATCACATCATGGGATTTATCCTGCAACCCAGCAAAACAGAGGCAGAGGCTCCAGCGAGGACATGCCCAGGGAGGTTGTGAATGCTCCATCCCTGGCAGTGTTCAAGGCCAGCCTCGACAGAGCCTTGTGTGCCATGGTTTAGTGTGAGGTGTCCCTGCCCATGCCATGGATTGGAACTGGACGATCTTCAGGTCCTTTCCAACCCAAACCATTCTACGGTTCTATGCCCACCAATGCAGACCCCATGTGGGCCTGGGAATGGTCCCAGCCCCCTGCCCTTTAACAGGGGTACAGGCTCTGCACCCCCAAATGCCACTTGCCTCCTTGAGATACTCCGTGTGGTGCTTGGTGGCCACGAAGACGACCGTCTGGTCCTGGGGCTTCACCACCGTGCGGAGCAGATGGAGCAGCACGGCCGGCTTGTCATCCCCGCGCACGTGGAAGAAAGCCAGCTGCAGAGGGGGGGCCACAGCTCAGCCCCATTGCAACCCCACACCACACACTGCCCCTCTGTCCCCTCCTCGCAGGGGCTGGGGGCACAAAGCCCATCTCACCTTGAGCTGCTCGCTCAGCTTGGACTCCACATCCAGCCGGATCAGCATGGGCTCGGTGAGGCCTGCGGGATGCGGTGCCACACGGGGCACGTGTCACACGTGGGATGCGCCACCAGGACCAGCCCCACTGCTCTACTCAGGGACACCCGCTTGCCCCAGCGCTATCCCAGCTCTGTTTTGGCAGCCCTGGCCCCATCCCTGTGCTCTCACCAGCGCGGGCAAACTCCACGAGCAGCTTGGGCAGCGTGGCGGAGAAGAGCACGGTCTGGTGGCAATCGGGGAGCCGGGCGATGATCTCCTGGAGCTGCTCGGCAAAGCCCATCTCGAAGAGCCTGCAGGGAGCAGACCCGGGACATGGCAGCGCCCGTTGGGTCCCCCTGTGCCCAGTTCACCCCACGGTGGGGACCCCACTGCGGACCTGTCGGCCTCGTCGAACACCACGTACTCCACCGTGTGCAGCTTCAGTTTCATCTCCACCGCCACGTGCACCAGGCGCCCAGGAGTGGCAATGATGCTGCAGGGACAGAGCTGGTGACGGGAGCGGGTTTGGGGGGCACAGAGTCCCAAATCCAACCCAATCCAGACTCCGCTGTCCCCCATGGGGAGCCAAAGATGCTCCAAGGGAACACCAGGATGCATCCATCAGGCGTGCTGGCTGTAAGCACCACTGATGTCCCCGGATGGCTCTCGGGGTCACTTCCCCACTGTGTCCCCTCCCCACGGCCCCACTCACATGTCGGGGTTCTCATGCAGGGCAGCGAACTGGTCCTCCATCCTGCGGGAGCGGGGAGAGGCTGGGATACAGCGGGTGGTACGGGGCAGCTCAGCCCCTCGCCAGGCTCCGGGGAGGCTTTAGTGGGGACATGGGGACAACTCACTTGTCTCCTCCCAGGATCAGGGCTGTCTTCAGGCCTGTGAACTTGCCCAGCTGTGGGGTGAGAAATAAAAGTGTTGGGGGGGGGTTAAACCAAACCCCTTCCCCTCGTTGTCCTCATTCACCCCATTCACCCTGTTGTTGTCCCCATTCACCCTGTTGTCGTCCCCATTCACCCTGTTGTCGTCCCCATTCACCCTGTTGTCGTCCCCATTCACCCTGTTGTCATCCCCATTCACCCTGTTGTTGTCCCCATTCACCCCGCTGTTGTCCCCATTCACCCTATTGTTATCCCCATTCACCCCACTCTTATCTCCATTCACCCCGTTGCTGTCGCCATTCACCCTATTGTTATCCCCATTCACCCCATTATTGTCCCCATTCACCCCATTGTTGTCCCCATTCACCCTATCGTTATGCCCATTGACCCCGTTGTTGTCCCCGTTCCCCCGTTTTTGTCCCCATTCACCCTGTTGTTGTCCCCATTCCCCCTGTTGTCCCCATTCACCCTACTGTTATCCCCATTGACCCCGTTGTCCCCATTCATCCCGTTGTTGTCCCCGTTCCCCCCGTTGTTGTCCCCATTCACCCCGTTGTTGTCCCCATTCCCCCTGTTGTCCCCATTCGTTGTTGTCCCCACTCACCCTGTTGTTGACTCCATTCACCCCGCTGTTCTCCCCATTCACCCCACTGACCCCATTCACCCTGCTGTTGTCCCCATTCACCCCATTGTTGACCCCATTCACCCCATTGTTGTCCCCATACCTCTTTGGTGAACTTGAGGGTCTGCAGGGCCAGCTCCCGGGTGGGTGACAGGATGAGGGCGCGCGCCCCGGCCTGGCTGGGTGCCTTGAGGCGCTCGAACATGGGGATGAGGAAGCACGCCGTCTTCCCGCTGCCCGTCCGCGCCATCGCCACCACGTCCCGGCCGCGCAGGATGGCGGGGATGCTCTGCGGGACACGGCTCCGTCACCGTCCCCATCCCCGTCCCCATCCCCATCCCCATCCCATGGTGGGGACCCACCGCACTCACCTTCCTCTGGATGGGGGTGGGCACCTTGTAGCCCTTCTTCATGATGCCCTTGAAGACGGGGTAGCTGAGGCCTGCGGGGATGGGGATGGGTGAAGGGGCGCAGGTGAGGGTTGGTCCCCACTTGGGTACCGCTGCCCCCGGCCCCGCACGCACCCATTGACTGGAAGCCACCGGATTTCTTCTTCTTCTGGTTCTGGGCCCGCACCAGGGCCCGTGTGTCCGGCACGGCATCAGCATCGGCATCAGCATCATCCTCCTCCTTGGTGCTGGGGAAGGCGGGCAGCGGAGACACAGGGACCTGGGCATGGGGGGGACATGGCTGCAGCTCTGCATTGCCAGCATGGAGGGCACAGACACTGGTACTGGGGACATTGATACTGGGACAGCAATACTGGGGATACTGGCATTGGGACAGCAGGGTGGGAGGCATCAGTATTAGGAATGGTTACTTACACTGGTAATGGGGATATCAGTTCTGGGACACTGGGACTGGGACACCAGTATGGGGGCTATCAGTACTGGGACACTGGTACTGGGACACCAGTACAAGAGACAGCAATACTGGGACACCAGTAGGGGGATATCAGTACTGGGACACTGATACTGGGGATACTGGCACTGGGTCAGCAGCATGGGAGACATCAGTAGTGGGAATGGTTACTTACACTGATAATGGGGATATCAGTACTGAGACACCAGTCCGGGGGCCATCAGTACTGGGACATTGGTACTGGGACACCAGTACGGAGCATATCAGTACTGGGATACCAGTACAAGGGACACTGGCACTGGGACACTGGCACTGGGATACCAGTACGGGGGATATCAGTACTGGGATACCAGTACAAGGGACACTGGCACTGGGACACCAGTACGGGGGATATCAGTACTGGGATACCAGTACAAGGGAAACTGGCACTGAGACACCTGTATGGGGGACATCAGTACTGGGACATCGGTACTGGGACACCAGCACAGGGCACACTGGTACTGGGGACCCCGGTACCAGGCCCGGCAGCACGCGGTGGCCGCGGAACACGTGCACCGGAAACACGTGGCGCGGTACCGCCGGCGCGGGGGACGCGGGAACGCGCGCGCCGTGGCCCCCCCCTCCCTTTCCCGTTTCCCCCTCCCCCTCCCCGGTACCGGCGCTTCCCGGGTCTGTCGGCGGGCACGCGCAGGCGCCATGTTGGTAACGGCGGCGGAAGCGGAACTAACCCCACGCACGGCCCCGTTCCGCTCCGCCCCGCCCCTTCCGGCGGAGAGGAACGGTGCCATGCGTGCAGCGGCTGCCCCCCGCCGCCGCCGTCCTCGGGCATCCTTCGTGGACGAGTCCTTGTTCGGGACCCCTGCGGGCGCTCGTCCCCCTCCGCCCGCATTCCCCCCTCCATGGGCCGATGCTCCAGGTACCGGCTCCAGGCCGAGCGGGCAGCGCAGGTGAGCGGGGCCCCGGGGGCTGCGGGTGTCGCTCTATAGGAACGGTTGTACCGGTACCGGATCTCTCCGAGCCGGCTCGTGGGTGATGTGTGTTCGTTGTGGACATAGGCCTTATAATGCCATGGAGTGCCCGCCCGCTGCCGTTCTTCCGTCATTCGGGTGCATAAGGGTGGTGTGAATTGGAAGAGTGGTCTCCCGGTGCTCTTATGGAATTCCGTTAGTTAAGGACATCGGGATGTGTGTTTGGGTACAGAGGCACAGCCTGGTTTGGGTTGGAAGGGACCTTAAAGCTCCTCCAGCTCCAAGTCCCTGCCGCCTTCCACTGGAGCAGCTTGCTCCAAGCCTGTGTCCAACCTGGCCTTGAGCACTGCCAGGGATGGGGCAGCCACAGCTTCTCTGGGCACCCTGTGCCAGCGCCTCAGCACCCTCACAGGGAAGAGCTTCTGCCTTATCTCCAACCTGAACTTGCCCTGTTTCACTTTGAACCCATCACCCCTTGTCCTGTTGCTGCAGTCCCTGATGAGCTCTTGCCAGATTAAGTGCATATCCTTGTGTGGGCTGATTTACAACCCTGAGAGGCTCCTGGAGCTGTTTCTTTCACAGCCATTTACCTATGTGTAAGGCTCATCAACAGGAGGAACCTGCACTGGTTTGAGAGGAGACACCTGGTCCTGGTGTTGCAGCTCTGTGTCTTCTATACACAGTAAAACCCTAGCTCAGGAATTCCTATAACCTCGCCTGAGTTTCTATATTCAGATCCAGGGGTGGGCGAGTGGCTCTCAGGAGGGTCCTGGGTGACCCTGATGCTTCCCCGTGTGCAGTGCCCGGTCCTGGTGCATGGTTCCTGTGTCCCGCAGGCTGCGAGGCCACACTCCATCCTTCTGCGATGAGTCCCTGTTCGGCCCTACCCACGCCGCTCCTCGCATGACCAAGGAGGATGTAGCCAAGCTCCAGCCACTGCTCTGGAGCCCCCCGCCTGCCCCCCGCGCCCAGCCTGGCCTCTCCCGCTGCTGCAGGGGCTCCCCGGTAAGCGCTGCCCCTCCACCGGCCGCAGCGGGCTCGGGGGTGTCGCGACAGGACACATCCTGTGTGTGGAAGCGTCCCGAGAGCGAGCCTCGCTCCACAGGCAGAGCACGACCCCAGTCTCTGGGCTGGCCCAGCACCCCCTTGGATGGGCCCTGCCGGGCTTTGGACAACCCCAAGCCAGGAAGGTGTAAAAACGGGGGTCCCTCAACAGCCCCCACAACCCCTTGGGTGCTGGGTCGGTCACAGCGTGTGTCCGGACCTCCTTTGGCCAGGAGCAGCACGGCAGAGGGTACCTGCAAGGCCAGGCCTCCCTGGAAGTGAAGCCACACATCCCTGTGGATGCCTACCCAAGACCTCCTGATGGGCAAGTCCATAGGGACCCTGCACCTTTCCATGGCTGGACGTGAAGGATGGGGCTGCTCTGTGCTGGGAGCTGTGCATGCCCACAGTGCCAAGCAGGCAGTGACCTCCCTGTGCAGGGCACACTCCTGCAGCACCGGAGCGGGACAGCCTTGGTGGTGACAGCAGCTTCCATCGACTGCCCGGTGGCCATCAGAGGTGCGGTACTGGATCAGGTTCCTTCTGACTGGGAAGTCCAGCTGGGAAGCTGGAGCAGGAGGAGACAGGACTGCCTGCAGCGTGGAGGCCAGAAGGACCAGGCACAGGTACTGCTATAACAGCGGAGCGTGGTGGGGACGGGCAGGGACAGAGCTAAGGGCAGGTGAGGGTCCTGATGGCACCTCCACTGGCCAGCTCCAGGAGAGGCGTCCTTCATCCTCCCTCATGCGTACAGCCACAGCATCGCTCATGCTCAACAGGCCTGCAGGAGATCTCTAGTCCAACCTGCTCAAGCAGGTGACTGGGCTTGGGCTGCTCTCCTGTCAGTGAGGTGTGGGAAACCTCAAGAACAGAGGGGCAGGCACAACCTCCGACCCTACTTGATTGTCCTTGGGGTGAAAAGTCTCCCTTGATATCCAGGCAGAGCCTTTCTTGATCCGATTTGTGTCTGTTCTCATTCTGCTCTGCACAGAGCTTGCTCAGTCCTCATGGTCACCTCCTCTTCACAGGTAGAGGCTGCTCTGGAGCCCCCCAGAACCATCCCTGCTCCAGGCTGAACGAGCCCCAATCCCTCAGCCCCTGTGCACAGGATGTGCTCCAGCCCTGGCCAACCTGGGGGCTCTCTGCTGGCCTTTTACCAACGCTTTAATGGTCTCCTCTGGCAAGGAAGGAGAAGGTGAGGACTGGCATCACCCTGCGTCCTGCTGCTGGTGGGATGCCCCGGGACTGGGTGGAGAAGGATCTTCCACAGGGATTTCAGCAGCTTCTGGTGATGAGGACGTGCTGAGTGAACGCGTGATCCTGCGGGGTGTACTGAGGGTCTCAAGGTGCTCTCACAGCAACACCACGCTCATCACCAAATAAATGGTTCAAGGCAAATCTGCTGCACCTTGTGTTTGGACCACGGGCTGCTGCTGTGTGATCTGCACACAGGCAGTGTGTCCAGAGGCTGGCTGAGCAGAGCAGCTCCTCCGTGTCCATTCCTGAGGTGGGGAAGTGCAGCTCGGTCTGAGGGAATGCAGGTAGGGAGGCACATAAAGGACATGGGCTGGGTGACCTGGGGGCTGCTCCCCTGGGCAGGGAGGATGAAGGGAAATCACTGGGAACTTGGTAACTCCCACACAAAGGGAACCCTTCCCTCAAGTTCACCCAAGGACAAACCCAGCCAGGGTAAGGGCATCACTCTGCCCCCAGGAATGCCTTTATTGCCACCTTGAGCAGCAGCAGGACTGGGGTTAGACCCACCTGAGCACACAAAGGGCACTGGAGCTCAGCCAGCCAGGGACCTGTGTTTCTGGTCCAGCTTGTTGGCAAGAAGGGTTATTCTTGCTCTTGAAAGGCAAGCGAGCTCAAGGTGAAACAGTGAGTCTTGGCATGCCACTGCTCTAGTGTCCTCCCAGCCAGCCCTGGCAGGCTCTGCCTTAGTGCAAGTGCTGTCCAGATGGGTAAAGACTGCAGGGACACGAAGGCAACTGGAGCATCAGGGGATGCTGATGGGGCTGAGGCTGTTCAGCTTCGTGTGGGTGCCAGCACGGTGCCAAACAAGCCTGCAGGTGTCTCAAGTGGGCTGGGAGAGAAACCGAAGTGTGATTTGGACACTAGGTGGAGACAAGAGGGTTAAGGATTGACACAAGAGCCAGAGCCCTGTTCCCTATCAGTGTGTGGATGAATGGGATCCACTGAGGGGAGTCAGGAGCAATCTGGGCTAACTGCCCCAAAATGTGAGCCGTGGATAACGTCTCACTCCTTACACCACAAGGACCGTATTGCTTACAGCATAAATGGGTTGTATGGATTTTGTCCTGTGGTTCTCACTCACATTTGACTCTACTGCTGCCCTGTCCTCTTGTTCTACCGGAGCTGTGATCCATCACATGAGCCAAAGCTGCTCGGTTACTGCTTTGTGCTGCCAACACCAAGCGTTCATTAATGAGGCTGGGGTTGGAACTAGGTGATCTGAAGGTGCTTTCCAACCCTATCTATTCTGTGATCCTGTGATTCAGATTCACCCTGCCCATTGCCACTGATGCTCAGTTACAGATGGGGTTCTGCCTGCTGCTGCTCTTAGTTCTCATTCCCCATCTGCTCAGCACCCTCTGCACCACTGACTCAACCCTGGCTCCTTGCCTTGTGTCTCAGCAAAGCACCACTCATTCTGAGGGCTGCTTAGCTTCCCAGTCCAGCTGTGCCCAGCCCTGGTGCCGCACTCAGCTGTAACGGATGGCTTTATGTGTGGTCAGTGTTACCTGTGCGCTCTCAGCCTGCACCGGCTCCCGTGTCTCTCAGCACCTACCTCACCTGATCCACAGCAGCCTCACTGCTCTGTGTCCGGAGGACCACGCAGCCTCTCCATGCTGTGAGGAAACTGCTTGCTCGGTGGCTGCAGTTGTGATGGTGGAGGGTTGCTTTCCACTGAAGCCAGTACTGTAATGAACAGCATGTGCAGCCTGCAGGAGCCAGGTAATTGTCCTTATGGTGGCCAGCGGCCTGACATGAGAGCATGGCGGCCGGTTCCTCCTCCTCTGTGGGCCCGGCGCCGCGCCGCACCGTTGCTAGGCGACCGCTCCTCGGGGTCCTCAGCGTAGCCAATGGCAGCCAGCGCCCCTGTCCCCGAGAGCCCGCCTCTTCCTCCCACCGCCGCACCCTGGAGCCAATCAGCATCCTCGCTTGGCCGGACTGACAGCTCCGCTACCCAATGACGAGGCCAAGCGCGCGTGTGATGGGGAGGCGGGAATAATTCAGCGCCTCTCGACGGGGCCCAGGGCCGGCGGTGGGCGGAGCGAAGCGTGCGCGGAGTGTGGATTGGCTGGAGGGAGAGACCCGCGCTGCCCGCCGCCAATGAGAGGCGGAGGGGCGGGGCCGCGCGCACCGGGCGCTGAGGAGAGGTGTCGCAGCGGGCGCCGGTTCGGCGGGGCCGGGTTGCGGTGTACTGGGGTTCGGGGCCGTGCCTGAGGTCCGGCGGCGGGAGGCGCTGCCCGGGGTGGGCTCCGCAGGGAGAGGGGGAAAAGGACGGGATGGAGCCGGTTTGCGCGGGCCGGAGGCGGCGGGGCCTCGGGGAGGGCTGAGGAGGGGAGCGCGGCCCCCACAGCGCGGTGCCAGCCCCGTCTCGGTGTCCCTGTCTCCCGCAGGCCGCGGTCCCGGCAGCTCCGGGAGTTGTCCGCCGCGAAGCCGCACGTCCGGTGCCCCGGGGGGGCTCGGCCTGTTGCTGAAAGGATGCGGCCTCCGCCGTGACGGAGATGGGAGAGTGACGGCAGCGCGGCGGCACCGGTTGTGGAGCGTCCCGTGACGCTGTCCAGGCCCTGCTTGAGTTTTCTCTTCCTCCATCTCTTAAAGAGACCCGAGACCTTGTGCCAGTGGCATCCCCCAGTAGGAAAGCCCCCCGGAACTTCATGTGTGCGGCCTCAACCCGGCCTCTTTCCCCTCCCCACCTGGAGCTGAGGCGCTTTGGCATGGCAGGGGCCAGAGCCGTGTGTGATGGTGACACTTAGCATCATGCTGGCTCTGGATGCGTCACTCCCGCTCGCTTCCTGCGCCGAGCGCTCAGGAGTTTGTCAAGAAGCACTTTCTTTTGCTTCCGTGCTGCGGTGCGAGCTGTGTGCTGACAGGAGCAGCCTGGACCTGGCTTTCTGCGTTTAGCTTTAGCATAAATCCTGCCGTTGGGTCTGGTGGCCTGTGCTGCCTTTTGAAAGCAAATCTAGATCCTTTTTGAGCTGTGGTCAAGAAATGGGTCCGCATACCTTTGTGTTCTTACGTACAGAAGACACCCCTGATGGAGGAATCCCTGGGGAGAGCTTTTGACATCAATGTTACAAGTGGAACTGAAACAGGCATCATTTAAAGTGCTTGGAGCACGGGCCTCTGAAGGGAGAGGATGGCTGTGAGCATGGATGATGACGTTCCCCTTATCCTCACCCTGGATGACAGTGGAAGCAGCGCCTCAGCCCCCCTCGATGATGCTGACCGGGAGGAGCTGCCCAATGAAAGTAAGATCACTTTGTCGTTGTTTCCTGCCTGCTGTGCTGGCCTCTGCTGCTTTCCCTCTTTGTGGTGGCTGCTTTGTAGTGCTTGCCAGGCCCTGAACCTCTGGGAGCTGTCACTCAGCGTCCCGGCCGCCTGCCTGGGAAAACCAGATCAGGAAGTTGCTTATTGTGTTGCTTGTTTACTCCCAGCACCGAGGGGAAGGACACTGGGTAGACAGGTCCTTCAGTGCTGTTTCTGACACACATTTTTGTGGTTTCCATTTAATAACCTGGGACCTCATTATCCTTAAGCTCAAATCTCCTGCACACTGGCATCCCCTTTCCTCAGCAGTGGCCACTGTGCTGTACCTGTGGCCTGAGCTGGCAGATACAGTGGCTCTGATGATGTTCTGGAGTATCTTCCTATTCCTTTGCAACTCTTGTTTTGCCTGTTTCTAGTTTATGCTCTGATTTTTGCAGCCAGGAAAGTGGTACATGGTGCTAAATCACTTTGACATCTTTAGTGTGTTCTTATCAAAGAAGCTGGAGTACTTTTAGACAATACACTTGTGTTAGCCCCAAGGTATTCAGTGGGACAGCGCCAGGCTGTGCCTGTCAGGAGGGGGGGAAACACAAGCCCATCTCTTGGAAGCATTGCTTTCTCCTCAGCATATCTCTATGGAAGCCATGGTCCTGCACTGGGAGAGATGGGAACAGCAGATGTGGTTGTGCACATTCAGTGAGTTTCTGGTTTATGTTATACCTCACTGTATGTATTTGAACAGTTTGGCTCAACAGATCCCCTGACTTCCAATCTACATTGCAGGTGTATGCGCAGGTCTCGTGAGCCTGTTCAAGCCCTTGCTGCCACGAGCTTAACATTTGTAACACATAAATAATTTCCTGGGTTGGCATCCCTTTCCCTCCATTACACCTCTAATCCACGCTGCCTCTGTGATCCTGTGCTGTGATTCCTCTATCACAACCGTGTGGCTTCTCTTTCTCCTCCTGCAACTTCCTGAGCCAGGGGCTGGCTCCTAACAATCAAGATTCCTTTTCCCTCCTCTCCTCTCCCACCTCTCCAGTACCCATCCCTGGCTAAATTGCCCAGTTGACTTTCTCTCAGCTCTGCTGCATCTTTGCTCCATTACATCTCTTTGTCTTTCAAAGTTTAGCTCTCTAATTTAAAGTTAAATGGGAGAGAGAATGCTTCCTCACCCCACTGGTGTATTTATAGGCTTTCTTGTGAGTAATTTTAATCCCTCTTCACTCATCTTTTTCTTCCACCCACCTCCCATCTCTTTAACCCAGTGATAAACCTCACACTACTTCTTTAAAGCCACCATGTTAAAGCACAAGTGTGAGCATGAGCATATCAATAAATAAAACTGTTCCAGTTTGCTTCACTTGAAATACAGCGAAACTGTTTAGGGACCAATTTTGTGCTGCTTGAAAGATTGCTGTGTGGTTTTTGAGAACTCATTTCCTGGGATTCTTTGCATAAAGGGTCTTTTGGCGTTGAAGAAGTTTTGCTGTGTTTTAATCACTGTTCGAGTTGAATTTGCTGAGAAATTACAAAGCTTACTCTGTGCAAGGGATACTGGGTGATACAGAGCCCTGTGAAGCCAGGGAGTACTGGGAGACAGGGATGAGAGATTAGAAGGGGAAAGCTGGAGAAACAACTTGAAAGGCACACTTATTTATCTCTGAGAAGCGGGAAGCTTGAATTAGTGAGTGAACAGGCTGATGCCATTGCTCGCAAAGTAAGCTTGTTTAGGAAGCAGAATGTGTGGTCCAGCTTTCCTCTTCGCCTGCAAAGGAAATCCACTGTGAAATGCACAATGTCCCATGGAGGCTGGGAGCAATTCAAACGTTTCCCTTCTGTTCTGCCTCCACTCCTCTGCTGAGGACTGAAATGGCATTAACAGAGCTGTGTGATTTCACGTTTTTATGCAGCTTGTCTTTTTCAGGGATGTGAGAAGCCCTTTTCAGGAGAGGGAGTGCTGCCAGGGTGATGATGAAGGCATGGGACAGGGCTGTTTCCTTCTCGTTCTGTGTTCCTTATGCCTAAACTCTCATGGTTCAGCCAGCATTTGGAGGAATAGCTCACTTGTTACTGTGCCCAGCCATCAGCTCTTGGGGATGTGGTGGCAGGTGAAACACAAAGCTGTTACTGAAGTCTCTTCCCAGATGCTAGCTGGGACTGTTTGCAGTGAAGGACCCACCAGCCTCTTCCCAGGTGACACGGAGGGAAAGACAAAGTGAAGTGGGTGTACAGGTGTGAAGCTCTGTTAAATCACACACCCAGAGCTGATAAGAACCAAGCTGTTTTGTGTTGCTGTGTCAATGAACCTCTCTAAATACTGATCCATATTCCATCCTGAGCACTATGTATCTGTGTGATTTCAGTGTCTCAGCTCTCATGGCTTTTAAGGAACTTCTTTTGCTTTAGAAGTCAAACAAACAACTTGATCCATAATGTGGCTTTGTTACAGTCGGGTCCTTGGATAAATGAATTTATAGTTTTGGACTCTTGATGTTGATTGTCAATGCAGACAAGTTGCAGTAAATAATAACAGGGCTTTTTGAAAACAAGTCTGTTGTTGATGTCTAAAGAAAGCACTGAAGTGCGAGAGTGAACCTTGCAGAAGAGTCCTCTTCTGGGTAAGTGAGTGTCTTGGGTTAGAATAAATGAAAGCTAAAGGAGAAAACTGGGTGGAAAATTATGTTCTTAAATAAAATGTCCAGCTGCAAAAAATAATCTCCCTAATCACACTTAGCAGGAGAAAATCCTTGCATGGAGAGGAATAGTAAAGCTCTGCCTTGATTTGTGCTGGAGACACCTGTTCCAGGGAGCTCCCATTTATAGCCACAGCAGGTCAGAATCCTGTAAAGGTGATGGGAATTCAGACCACATCCAGAAAACCATGGTCCTTGTGGTGCTGATGGTTTTCTGACTACAACACATAGGACTGTGGTGCTGGGTAGTTTTCCGTTCAAGCTCCAGCAGCTGAAGGAGACAGAGGGAAGTGCTTTCATCACTTGAATCCATGCTAATGATGCTGCCCTTCCCTAATCCATTTTACCTGAAAATCTCCAAGTGCTGCACACACTCTAATTAAGCTTTCCAGCACCTCTCTGGGTGAATGACCAACAGGAACTGCATTTCTGTAGAAGGCAGACCCAAGGGATGCAATGCTGTGTGACTTCTCCCAAAACGATGTGCTGAAACCAGTGAGAAGCAGCCAGGGTTTAGTGACTCCCATCCCTCACCCACACTCCTGGGAAGCATTCAGATGGGGTTCTCAACAGATCTCCAATGTTTTCCCTAGACAAAGGCAGCATGGATAGCCTTGAAACTCTAGGACAGTGTCTCTCCTTGAGCTGATGGGAACTAGAAGCAATAAATGAGTGCACATTGATTTAGCCTGTATTAGATCGGATACAAGATCCTCCTTTGCCTCCCGCATGGAAATTGCTGTAGCCTCAAGTGGAGTTTCAGTGTGTTCAGAGCAGAAAGTACAGCTCAAAGTGTCATACAGGGAACAATACAATATTGTCTGTTTCTCCCACACAATGGATTATGGCAAGTGGAAGAAGTCATCTTTAAACTCTGGGTTTTTACAAGAAAGCAGCTGCATCTGCTGTTGAGGTAAAAATGAATTATTGGACATGGGGAGGGGAGGGAGCAACTGCAACAGCCAGGTGAGATGCTTTCTAGAAGGGATGTTGGAACATGGGAAGTTAAAACTTGGAAGGCTGAAGTTTCAGCTGAACCTTTGTGATCTCAGGGTCTGCTGCCTGAGGAGTGAATTGTCAGGACTAGAGCTAGCCTGCCCTTTTGGGTAGGGGGAGTGTTGTTAGTGTGCATTGCTGCAGAAGAGCAAGAGGCCCAGAGTCCTTGGTGAGGAATGTGGCTGTGGGTAAGGAAAGCAGTGACTGCCCCAGAGCCTGTGGGTTGTGTCTGTGGAGCAGTGTGTGTGGTGTGTGCTGTGCTGTTGGAGCTCCTGAAGGAGGCCTCCCCCTCGGCCCCATGCTGTGATGGGATGTGTGAAGAGGCTTCCAGCAAAGCTGTTCTTTGTGGAGGTGGCTGATGGAAAATCATGTTTCTGGACACAGAGTCTAATTACAGCATTAATGGGTTCTCTATACAACAGACAATTCATCTCCCAGTCCACAGGTAGACATTTGTACATGGATCGAGGGCAGTTAATGCTGTTCTTTTGAGACATGGATATGTTGACATGTGCAGTGACCAATGCAACCTGAAGTGATGCAATTCTCTTCTGTATTGGATCAGGGTCCAGAACATGTTTGTATCAGCACTGAGGGAAAGTAAGTCTGTCCTGGTAACCCGCAGATCACCTGGGCAATGAGTCCCTGCTCCAGAAACATCTCTGTTGCCTCATTCCTCCCACTGCTTCCTATAGTGCCATCCGAGGATGAAAGAGCTCTCCAGGTGTAAAACAAGTGTGTTTTCTGATGGACTGAGGGAACAGAGCATAAATACCTGACCTCTGGGGAGATGCTGCAGCCACACAAACTCAGTAGCTGTGCTTGCGGAGCCGCTTTAGTTGCTGTGAAAGCATCCTGGCTTTGCTGCCTGTGAAGGAAAACAGGCATTTTAAATGTCAGCCATCTAACAGATTTAATGAATCCTTCAGGATCTTGTGGGAAAGTGAGGATTTCAAAGCTGATGTGGACTTGGGCTCTGATTATGAAACGCTGCAGCTAATTGGTGTGAAGAAATAGGGATGAGGGAACAAGTGAAGGCTTGCAATGGAGCTGGATCTCTCACAGCCAGGCTCTCCAGCAGCCTCTTTGGTTATCTGGCTTCCTTGGATGCTGGGCAGGATATTTTCCCACCTCATTGCTCCTAGGCTCGACTGATTTGCCTTTAATTAGTCCCAGTAGCAGTGCTTCCATTGGAGCCTGTAGGGGTGAAGCATGGCCAGAGATCTCAGTTTTGGAAGCAGTCTGGTTCTGCTGTTGAAGCTGCTCCTCCTCATACCTAGGTATGTCAG